AGGATTCGCGCATAACTGATGAGTTTGATCGTTTAGTGCCACTTTCCCAGGTGACCGGGCTGAGCTAAACTAACTGAAAACTGGAATCTTGGGACTGGCTTGCTCAGTTATCCTAACTTTTGAGGGTGGTATAAAATATGATGAAAAATACAGCTCTTTAAAATGCAACCGAAAATGTTTATCTAAATGGCTCTGAAAATCTTCGAGTGTTGCCGACTGCAGTTCGTTTCTGCTCTGCCTTCACTCAAGATGATGCTGCTGTAGTTATTATCCGGGTTTCATTTTAGAGGACTGGAGGTGAATTTCTTGTATGAAATTAGTCAGAACCTTCATAATTTAGCGGGAAATGATTGCGATGGGTGAACCAGCAACCAGGTCGAGAATGCCTTTCGACTTCTCAAACGTGTATGACCATCAGACATGGTGAGGACGGTTAAATGTGGGCTGGCAAAGTATGGCTTAATTCCTTCTTAAAAAGGGGCTCACAACCCGAAACTTCATACTGACAAGAAGAAAGGCATAAAAAAACATGTACAGCTTTCGAATTGTTAAATTAAGGGTAACCAAATGTACCGGAATATTTTTGGCTCGAATGGAGGCCGGTCAGGCAGCGTTAATCTGTCCGCCGAGCATGAAATTAGATTGGAACCCTTTCGTCACAATTCAAAGTGAAATCATCGGTGCGATCATACCACCATCAATCTATCAATACCTAAGAGAACGACCCTTTTTGACAAGTTGTGACCAAGTGAGTAGTTAGTTTCCGTGACCGACAGATTAGTGGCGATATATCCAGTCTATGTACCAGTTAATCACTTTGCTGTTCATCGCTTGTGGCTGATGGACTACTGCGTCGAAACTCTACTGAATCTTCGTTAGTTGCGCACCTCTTATGGTTTCCAATATGAAAGAATCCGCTGTACAGTGCTCTTCGGCTTTTTATGACAGTTTATTTTCATTTATTGTATGAAATCTCCAATGCATATTGCAAAATCTTTTCACGCCACCATCAATTTACCAAAAGTATTTAGTATGTTGTGTGTTGAAATGTTGTACAACAAATTTGTTTACTTATTAACAATTAGTCCCAAATAGCAGAATTTTCCACATGCAGAGGTAAACTCTCGTATGCCATCGCCCCACAAAATAGTGCTGAACGGGTCCATTTTCTAATACAATTCAGTGGCTTTGAAACGATTCACACTACAATATAATACCACGTTAAAGATGCATACAAACTTAATGTAACTAACTTAATGTACTAACTTAATGTAAACCAAAGGATATATACAATGAGTAAAAAGATTTACGATGACAATAATGAAAGCGAACAGCCGAAGATTCATGGTAGTAATTAAAAGCTACATACAGCCTATCTGTGTCCACTAATTGTCACATACTCATGTTCTCTTCTTTTGTTTTTTTTACCGTGATCGTATTTAGTACCATTCGAATATCCATACCGCTGCATATTTCGTTAATTCACTGGCTCACAGATCCAGCAGCGGGGGCTTCAACTAATAGATAAGTTCACCGTCAATATGGTTGGCTTTTCGACATACCAATCAGTTGCTTGTTACTCTTGAATGCTCGCCACTGTCGATCAGTCACGATTCTTGCTCCAACTAAAACCGTGAATATTCTAGTGAATCTTACAAATGACATTTCCCTTTTTATGGAAAAAACCGTTGGAGCTTCCTCAGCTGAATGCATTCCTATGGACAATAATAATCTATATCTAATGGTTAGTCTACTTGTTTAGAAAGCATAGCCTGTTTGACCGAAAACCGTCACAAGCTGCTCCCTTTTTCTCTGTGTCCCAAGTAGCACCTTACTTTGCTGTATGTATATGTCATTCTTGTATATATCAATTCTTGGACAGGCTGTTACTTCTATACCAACTTTCAAAAAGCAATACATCAGGCATAAAAAGTAGTTTTTTTTAGATTCCCAATGCTATTGTTAGTACATTCTCATCAGAAGAACTATCAAAGTACCGGATTCCTGAAAGCCATGTTGTTAAAACATTGTCGTGCTCCACTTCCGGTCATTTTGATTGACGAAGTTGATTGGCTACTGGAAGTCGGCAATTGTCGTTGAAAAATAGAACACCTAAAGCTGGTATTTAAGGGCTGACTTAATAATAAATCCATTGAAGTCAAGAGACCCCCTCATTTGGTAAGTAATTACCTCTGTTTTGAACAAGATCCCCTTCATTGTGAGTACGATTAGGCTTTCCTCAAAGATACCACTGCTGATGGGTTGTCCTAGATATCGCCCCATAAACATGGTTTGAGAAAGTTGCAAAAACGCGCGTGAAATAATCGAACAACTTGTTCGACTGCGGTTGCACGAGGTCACTAAAGACCGCTGTCAATTGTCAGCACATAGGTCTAAGAACATGAAGTGTGTATCAAAAACCGAATTACACTTTACCCTTCAAGACTCAGGTTTGTCTGTCTGATCCGTACCTGACAAAATACAGAGATACAAGTCATGCTTCAACCAAAGTTTTCGAAAATACTATGTGCGTGGTGCAAAGCGATTATGGTTAATAAAGTCAAAACTCAAAAAAGTTTTACATTTAACTACTGAGATACAAAGATATGGTTTACACTGTTGCTGGCCATGATATCTTTTTATTTTATCATGCTTTCTGGGACTGTACTTGTGGCGTTCACCTTCGGAGTTGATAAGCCGACGCTCGGCCGAAAACCCGAAGGTCCAGTATTAACTCATGGGTAGCTGGCTTTGGTGAGCACTAGTCAGTAGGTTTAACCTATACTTGCGGGGATTTCCACACTTTCTGGAGAAAAACAGATCCAAAATTTGTTATTGTTTTCGTTGGTAGTTTCTGACTGATATTAAAGAAGACTTGATTTAAAGTCGATCCAAATCTGCTAATGCCTTTATTCTGAAACCACACTCTCATCTTTCGTGGGTACGAATAGTCCGCTCTTTCCATCTGTTTATTATGAAATGTATTTCAAAACATTTTAGCGATTCGCTATATTATGTGGGTCAGTTTGGTAGTCGCCTTTGCTTGCTTGTCTGTGTATGAAACTCAGGCCTACAGGTTCGGTCTTCTTGGAGGATACTCACAGCCTGAATGTCCGACTGATGAACAACAAAAAATGTTCTCTTCGATGGTGGGTTTCCAGTTCCTCATTGGTGAATTTTTTTTAGATTCAGCAAAGTGGTCAGGAAAACGGACTATCCGAATTGGATGGGAGTTCGACAGTGGACGTTTTACAGGTAGAGATGCAGATTGTTCAAGGGACAAATTACCGCGGACTGGTAGGTTACCTTGCGCATTAATATATATACTCTTCCAACAATTTCAGGTTCGTGTGAATGACAACGACTGTTACACTGTGGTAATTCACGAAGATCTCCCTAATCAGTACGGAAGCGATGGCCCTTATTCCATCCTTGGTGTCAACGACGCTGAATGCAGTCCAGAGATTGACTGCTGAAATTTAAAACATTTTGTTCGGTAGACAATTTCGAGCAAATGATAATACTACAGACTACCGCATGCTTTCTGTAACAAGCAAAAGGGGGTTTGAAATGGAAGGATGAAATGCCTTACCAGAGCTCATGATACCAAACTTCCTCGCACTGGGAACGAAGCTCGTTCGAAACAAAACCGCTGTGATAGCAATGGCAGTGCAGAGCTCTTCCGTTCCAACCGAGAAGGGCTCCTGAAAGACTTTGAGGTATACTACTTCGGAAGTTCTGATTGGTCAAAAAAGAAGCATTGAGGCCACTTACCGCGTACAACAAAGTGGAAGGCGAGTAACAGAAACAAAACTCAACACTTCATGCACCTTGTGTTTTGAGCACAGTTTGTACGTCAGGTTGTTTCTGCATTATTATTGTACTTTCATAAGTATAATCATGACATCCAGTGCTATTAGAATGGCTCCCGGTTTTCACGCAAGGGTGATCCAGACAAAAATGGAACGCAGTTTTTACGTAGGACTTGATCTTTCGGATATGCAACAAAAAAATCTTGGCCTATTCATGTTACGTTATGTGCGACTAACTAAATGAGTCGAGAATACGTGAAAGAATGCTCAGTGCTTCTGAAAAGAAAGGATGGGTCATGTCGTAAAAATTCTTTCCAACAAACCTGATGTAGTGTCCATGAATGATGAAGTAAAAAAGAAAATTCTGTTCAGGCCCATCGCACCCTGATAACCTGAAAGTACTTGAACAGTGACAAACTTGTTGCGTGGGGAACAGGAAGATACCTGATACTGGGGAAACAAAAAGGGAGCTTCCTTGTAGAATTTTCATCTACCTAAATCGGAATACATAGTGTGCAAGCGAAACCTGGAAGTAATTATTGTATAATGGATTAAATACTAATTAATAGTGAAAAAGACACATGAGGTGACAGATCCATGACGTGTTGAGTTCGAGGTCGGAACGGAATCACCAGAAGGCTAGGGATAATTTGATACTACGACTGGAGCTCTATCAGGTAAGCAGCTTAGCAAACCTCATTGGATTAAAACCAGGACGGGGGCCAATCTAGAATTAGGTTGTTCACACACCCGCAACAGACGTAGATCCCCGGCACAGAAAGCTCTCTGGTGCATGCTGAAAAGAAAACCAATATCATAAACCGCAGCTTCAGTTGTTAGAACTGGAAATATCCGACTATGGTTTGAGGTTTTCCGAAATAATTATTGAAAAGCATAAAAAGGCTGATGTATGTATACTCGGAACACACTCCGTTCATTATGCCATCAATACCGGAAAGTCTGCGTGGGTTATTTTCCTCCTTCCAGAGTTCTTTGCGTGTATTAAAGAGGTCTTCTTGATGGCACATGGATTCCAAAGGAAGACATGGCTGAAAACATAATTTAGTTCAGCCGATGAGGCAATCGTAAAAGGACGGACGCGTCAGGGTCTCTGTGTCCAGCAAAATTATTCCAGTCGATCCTTATCTGCGGTCGGGGGAAGGTAATAAGGCCTTATATAAACTTGCGTATTCTTTGCATGATTCTATGTGGTTTAGGGATGTCAGGAGCTTTACATACGATCCCAGATAGGAAAATAACCGTGGAGTTACTTGCTGACTACGACATCAGAGATTGAGGTGAACAATAATGATTAGATTTCGAAACCAAACGGGTAGGATAGGTTGGTCGCATTTATCGACGTCCACATGTCCAATCAGATTCACAAAAGAAGGCCATGAAAACGGTCAGTTTGACAACACTAGAGTCATGGAACTGCTTTACATCGAGCGAAAAAAATAGTAGATAGTTAGACTCTAGCAATCACTATCTGCTGCAATTTCAGGATTACATGCCATGGGCTTTCTTACGAAAGACAACTTCAATGGGGTGCTAAAACATTCCCCACTTGAAAATAACCGTTAAACTCCGAGGGATTCTGACACATTTACTTGACAGTTTTACTAGCCTTGAACAGCCCGCCTGCAATACCTATAGGTGTTTCACAAGTACTCTGAAATGTTATCATTAGGCCTTCATCATTCACGGATGTCGTAGAACTTTGTTTGTAGTGCCACAAAACCTACTTGGAACTGTTCACATGACTTGCTTCCTAACAGAAACCAGCTGTTTAGTAGACGGCTTTATATACCCAATCCGGCCGTACGGATATCTCAGCTAGTCAGTGATATTCTCCGCTGACTTTCAACTAGTTCCGATAATCATTTCGCGGGTCTGTTTGTTCATTTCCAGAGTTGAAAATGTCAGAGATCCACCGACGTTTATGCACTGTCTGTCTAACAGAGTGTCTGCTGAAAATTAGACCACTACACTCTAGTCACCTATAGCGTACACATTCAACCTAACATCTGTACTATCCGTTGACAGTTTCTGCTTATTTGTTCTGTGGAAACTCCGTGACCGCTCGGAGTTCAACACAGAATCTTTTCACATACTTTTTGATAAAGTGGTTCAAACGTAGTGAACATGGTGTTGTGATCTTGCAAGTTGACGTTCGATCATCTAAATAAACACTAGTTTCAGCTGCTATATAATTTTCAGGTTTCAGTAAAAGAACCTACCCTTCAACTCTTCAGGACCCTTCCTTGGTTTAAACGAAAAGAATCTGTAGGCTACATAGTGGAGTTCGTTTGTGAACAGGTGAATTATCGCAGTTTTCGGGTTTCAAGATTTCTATACTGGAGTAATTAATCCAAGATTTCATGGCTTGTGAAATTTGCGCTGATCGCGGATCTCATGAAGCGAATTTATGAGAATACCTGTGCAATAAAATCCCCGTTCAGTGAGATTCGAATAGTCACCGTAGAGAGAAATCAGTTATTTAGAGGTGGTTTTGAATTCCTGAGCTAGCTCCTGCGTAGCAGTAGTTCAAGCGTCGATTAAGAACACAGCGCCTGTATAGTGGATGTTTCCTAGTTATGAGTCTTAGAATGTTGCGTTCAATTTTACCCGTAAAAATTGCAACTAAATTCGAGATGTCACCACAACTCCATCTTTTGCCTAGTGAAAAAAAAGAAAATTTTACACCGTAAAAGTAGCTCTCTAAAATCTAAAACTGTATATTTGTGTAGATATCCACTTGGACCAGGCAGAAAAGTTATTCATTTTGAAAAGATTGGGTTGATAAAAAATGGGGAGGAAACAACGAAACAAATCTGTTTGTTATTTGGAATGTACTCCACGAACTCGACGGCCTAGTCAGTACTCTTGTCCGTAGATGTTTCACGATGGTTTCAGGCATATCCTTCGGCCAGCAATCAGCTGCATGTAATGGAAAACTGCCCAGGTCGAGTATGGGAGGTAGCGGACATTCGTCTATGTTTATTTTCGGAAGACCGTATATACGAGGACTAACCAGTTCCTTCGGTCTTAGACTTTGAGGTTGGGATTCCATTTTATGGGCGCTGGTCAAAGCCATTTTGTCTCCGCCGTTTTTATCCCGTCCTCTACCCTGTTCATGAAACCTTGGTCCTGTCTGAGGGCGATCTGCACGCTTTGTCTACACGGTCTGCTTCCCTAAAACCGGCTGTACAAGAATTTCAATCTGGTCTGGTTTCTGCAAACCAAAGAAGGAGAAAGC